TGTGTGTGTGTGTGTGTGTGTGTGTGTGTGTGTGTGTGTGAGACAGAGAGAAGGGTTGGGTGGAACAGGAGAGGAGTTAGGAGGATTTGTGATATGTCCTAGACATGTCAAATCAGAACATGTTCTTATTTCATTGGAACCTCGCAGAATGCCAGCACGCTGCATCACATCATTCACCGTCTGGCTCCTGATCTTGTAACTGGGACTATTTAAATGGATTCTTTATACAGCCTCACTGGAACTATAGATTGTGTCTCCATATGTATTTGTGCATTGCCTAGCAAACCCATCTTGCCTAGATCTGAAAAAAACAAACAAACACAAATGTTAATAACTGCACTCACCTCCCAATGGCCTCTGAAACCCAGGGCTATTAAAATATTCTAACAGTACTTGAGGTAGCAATATTCATCAAGCTGGAAGCCTGTAGAGTTCTGAAGTACCATATGTAGCCCATAAACTTGCTTGAAAATATAGCTTAACCTGACTGCTATTGCCCACAAGACAAATCTAAGGCAGATTGAGGTAAAGGGTTTTAATCTGCTCCCAAGCAAGTTTGAGATAAAACTCTCATTGGCTTGAATGAGAAGCAGTCTTGGCTAGTGGATAGAGCAATGCATACAAAAGGTAAGGAGTCTGTTCCTGGCATTCTCACAAGTTTTCTGAGTGATGTTGGGCAAGTCCTCTTGCCCTTCTGTGCCTAAGATCTGTTTCTGTGAAATGGGAACAATGGCCTTCTTTTGAAAATGCTTTGAGATCTGCTGGTGAGATGTTCCAGACCATTTGGTCTGATCTTGCGTACCTCACAAGCCATTGCATTTCACTCAGCTGTTCCTCCATCAAGCCACAACACTTAAGTGAGCCTAAAGCATTGCAGTCCTCAAGGCTAAGTACAGACAGTCAAAAAGCCTGAGGCTGAATCAATTCAATCTTTGCAGGTTAGTCTAAGCTGCATAGGTTGAACTAATAAGCAAGTGAATAGACATTCACTTTTGGTTTTGGAAATGCAGCACATGCCTGCAGTGGCCCAGGCCAGAAGCCAGAAGCCAGGAGGTGCTAGAGCACGCCTCCCTGCTCTGCTGGAGCTGGTAGCTTGGGCCAAGGTTAGCCCTCTCACTCGGAGGGTGTGGGGGCAGGGAGAGTTTGCAGGGGACGGTGAGTTAACTTGAATTTGGAGGGGATCTGAGACAGAGGTTCAATAAACTGATTTTAACTTATATCAGTTAAGTCTGATGCTAAATCTTTCCAGGTCTATCTGAAACTGGTTTTGGCCATTTTGCAAGTAGTTTATTTGCACTGAACTTCTATTGTGTTACAGATTTGAACTAGTTTCCAATCATTTATACCAGTTTATGTGTAATGTTTGTCACTAGCCCAAGAGACTGAGCTGTATGGTACGGTGTGCGGGCTCGGCGTGTCCGATACTGCACCTGCCATGTCACATGCCTCGCCCACAGCATTTCCAATCACTACGGGTCCCTCCTCTTGGCCTGTACGCGCTTGATACTCCTGCCACGACTTTGATGTTATTCCGGTTCAGTGATCTTACTCCGGCGCGTACCAGTCCAAAAGTGAGACTCCGGGACTCTTGGGGTCCCTAGTCAGTGAGGGCTCCGCCACCCCTACACCCTCGCCCGTACCACCGGATCTGTCGTCGTCTCGGGTCAACAGACCCGTCAGTAGGTAGCTCCCTTTTCACTCTGCGATCTCTATTTCATGCCATCAATGATTTTCCAGTCCGGGTTATTTGGGCACTGGGCTAGCCTGCCCTCAGTGCCCTATTGTTACTACCCAGCTGTTGGGTGCTAGAGCACTCCTTCCTAGGACCCTCTCAGGGCTCCTTAGTCCTTTTCCCTGGCTTCTTACCAACTTTCAGTCCTTATAGACACTGGGCAGCCTCTTCTCCTGTAGAGAGTGCCCCTCTATTCCAAACTATACGGCTCCCGGCTCCTGCCGGGTCCCGCC